CACCCCCAAAACAAAAGACCAATGAAACCAAGAGCTGGTTCTTTGAAAAAATAAACAAGAGTGATGAACCTTTAGCCACACTCATCAAGAATGAAAGAGGTGAAGTAACTGACACCACAGAAATACAATGGATTTTAATAAAATACTATGAACACCTATATGCTAACAAGCTGGACAATGTGAATGAAATGGACAAATTCCTAGAAAAATACAATCCTCCAAAGCTGAGTCAGGACAAATCAGAGAAACTGGGTGGGCCAACAACGGTTGATGAAATTGAAGCAGTAATAGAAAACACCCCAGCAAACAAAAGCCCTGGCCCTGATGGCTTCACAGGGGAGTTTTCACAAGCATTCAAAGAAGAGCTGACACCTATCCTCCTCAAACTATTCCAAAAAATTGAAGGGGAAGGAATACTACCAAGTTCTTTTTATGAGGGCAGCCATTATACTAATTCCAAAACCAGATAAAGACACTACAAAGAAAATTACAGGCCAATATCCCTGCTGAAAATAGATGTTAAAATCCTCAACAAGATATGAGCAAATCAGATCCAGCAATATATTAAAAAGTTCATACAACATGATCAAGTGGGATTTATTCCAGGAATGCAAGTCTAGTACAATATTTGCAAATCAGTAAATGGGATACTGCAAATAACTGAAAGACAAAAATCACACGATCATATCAATAGATGCAGAAAAAGCATTTGACAAAATCCAACACCCATTTTTGATTAAAAACACCCAGCAAAGTGGGAATAAGAGGGATCATACCTCAACATAATAAAGGCCATATATGACAAACCTACAGCCAACATCATACTCAACAGGCAAAGACTAAAACCATTTTCCCTAAGAACAGGAACAATACAGGGATGTCCACTTTCACTACTCTTTTTCAACATAGCACTGGAAGTCCTAGCCACAGCAATCAGACAAGAAGAAAACATAAAAGGCATCCAAATTGGAAAGGAAGAAACAAAACTGTCATTATTTGCAGATGATATGATATTGTACATAGACAATCCTAGACCACCAAAAAACTACTAGATTTAATAAATGAATTTGGCAATGCAGCAGGATACAAAATTAACACCCAGAAATCAGTGGCATTTTTATACACCAATAATGAACTCTCAGAAAAAGAAACTAAAAAAAAACCCCATTTACCATTGTCACAAAAAAGTTAACATATTTAGGAATACACTTAACCAAGGAGGTAAAAGACCTGTGCTTGGAAAACTGTAGGAAGCCACAAAAAAGTTAGAGGAATATGTAAACAAGTGGAAGAATATACCATGTTCGTGGATTTGGAAGAATTACATTATTAAAATGTCCATACTACCCAAAGCAATCTATATATTCAATGCCATCCCTATTAAAATGCCAATGGCATATTTCACAGATATAGAAGAAATACTCCAAATATTTATATGTAACCAAAAAAGACCCTGAATAGCAGAAGCAATCTTGAGAAAGGAGAACAAAGTTGGAGGGATCACAATACTGAATATTAAGTTATACTACAAAGCCACTGTAATATATACAGCCTGGTACTGGCCCAAGAACAGGCATGTGGATAAATGGAACAGAACAGACAACCCAGAAATCCACCCAAGCCATTACGCTCAATTAATATTTGACAAAGGAGGCAAGAGCATACAACGGAGTAAAGACAGTCTCTTCAATAAATGGTGTTAGGAAAATGGGACAAGTACATGCAAAAAACATGAAACTAGACCACAACTTACACCATACACAAAAATAAATTCAAAATGGATAAAAGACTTAAATGTAATTCATGAAAATAAAAATCCTAGAAGATGCCCAGCCAGGCATGGCTCAGCGGTTGAGCGTCGACCTAGGATCCAGGAGATCAGGGTTCGATTCCCAGTCAGGGCACATGCCCAGGTTGCGGGCTGCAGCCTATCAATGAATCTCTCATCATTGATGTTTCTATCTCTCTCTCTCCCTCTACTTTCCTCTCTCTGAAATCAATAAAGATATATTTTTAAAAAAAGAAAAGAAAAATCCTAGAAGAAAACATAGGCAGCAAAATCTCAGACATCTCTGGTAGCAATGCGTTTGCCAATACATTTCGTAGGGCAAGGGAAACAAAGGAGAAAATAAACAAATGGGACTACATCAAAATAAAAGGCTTCTGCACGGCAAAAGAAATCATCAACAAAACGAAAAGGGAGCCCACTGTATAGAGGAGCATATTTGCCAATAATACATGTGATAAAGGATTAATATCCAAAATACATAAAGAACTCATACAATTTAACAGAAGGAAGACAAACAATCCAATTAAAAAATGGGCAGAGGACCTAAACAGACACCTCTCCAAAAAGGACATACAGATACTCAAGAGACATATGAAAAAAATGCTCAACGTCACTAATCATCAGAGAGATGCAAATTAAAATGACAATGAGATACCGCCTCACGCCTGTCAGAATGGCTGCCATCAACAAATCAACAAATGACAAGTGCTGGCGAGGGTGTGGAGAAAAGGGAACTCTAGTACACTGCTGGTGGGAATGCAGACTGGTGCAGCCACTATGGACAGCAGTATGGAGTTTCCTCAAAAAATTAAATATGACCCATCCAGGCATGGCTAAGTGTCTGGATCCTAGCCTGGACCTAGGATCCAGGAGATCGAGGTTTGATTTCCAGTCAGGGCAGATGCCCCGGTTGCAGGCTTGGTCCCCAGTCGGGGGCATGTAGGAGGCAGCCGATTAATGGCAACTCTCTCATCATTGATGTCTCTCTCTCCCTCTCCCTCTCCCTTCCTCTCTCTGAAATCAATAAATACATATTTTTTTTAAAAATTAAATGTGAAACTGCCATTTGACCCAGTGATCCTGCTTCTAGGAATATATCCTAAGAAACCCGAAACCCTAATAAGAAACAGTTTATGCACCCCTATTTTCAGTGCAATTTACAATAGCTAAGATCTGGAAGCAGCCCAAGTGCCCATCAGTAGATGAGTGGATAAAAAAGCTGTGGGACATTTACACCATGGAATACTACGCAGCTGTAAAGAAGAAGAATCTCGTACCCTTTGGGACAGCATGTATGTACCTGGAGAATATTATGCTAAGTGAAATAAGCCAGGCAAAGAAAGACAAATACCACCTGATCTCACTTATATGTGGAATCTAAAGAACAAAATAAACTGATGAACAAAATAGATTCAGTGACACAGAAGCGTGGAACAGACTGACAAATCTCAGAGGGAAGGCAGGGGTGCGGGAGTGGGTGGGGAAAGATTAATCAAAGAACTTATGTGCCTATATGCATAACCCATGGACACAGACAATAATGTGGAGAAGGTGGTGGGGTGGGGGGTGGGGAGGTGTATGTGGGATGGAG